AGGGGAGAGGTGGGGGACGGGGAGGGCGTCCAGGGGCCTGGGGTTTTGTCCTCTCAGTGAGACCTCAGCCAGGAGCGGGAGGGGCATTGGAACCTGGGGAGATTCTGAGGGACCTGGGGGTCCCCGGTGGGAACTAGATGAGCCAAGGCAGCTGGGGTGCAGGGGTCTCTGCGCAGCACAGCTAAGTGGGAGGAGGGGGCGGAGTGGGGCCCCTGGGCTCCGTTCTCCCCCTGGAGGGGACCTGCCCAGCCCCCCGCCCCCACACCTGGCCGGTGCAGCTCCTGGGGCCTCTGTAGCCTGCGGGCCACGTGTCCAGGGCTGACGGCGGGCGCCCTCCATCTCTGCAGCTTAACTGCTGTGGCTCCAACGCGCTGACCACAGTGACCACTTCTGTGTTCAAGAACAGCCTGTGTCCCTCGGGCGGCAACATCGTCAGTAACTTGCTAAAGGTGTGTGGTGATGGGTGGGGCGGGGCCTGCCTGCTCCCCCATTTGGCTGCCACCCCTGGTGGGTCCTGGGCAGTGGCTGGCCCTCTCGGGGCTCCCGCTGGCAAGGGCAAGGACACGGCCATGCTGGGCAGTGCTGTGGCTGGAGTTGGGGCTGCTCTGCCTGGGGGCCAAGGCCAAATTTTTGCTGCCGGCCGGCCCATGGGGAGGCGGGTCTCTGGCCCAGGTCCCCGATGGGGGAGCCCTCTGAGCCTGGCATGGAGGCGCCCTGACCTCCCGGGTCAGCCCCGTCGCGGCGGTGCTTCCCAATCTCTTGAGTGCAAGAGGGCGCACACGGCACACTCGCCATTTCCGTGTTTGTTTAAAACGGATGTGAGGTAAAACCTGGCAGAGACCAGGCCCCGTTCACACCTGCTGAGGGGTCCTGGGGGGCAGGCCTGTGCCCTTCTGTGCTCCTTCTGCAATGACCCTGGGCCACGGCCTCGCCGGGGGCTGAGGACGGGCACCTCTGACCGCTGTCTGGCCGCCCCCGCAGGAGGACTGCCATGGGAAGATCGACGAGCTCTTCTCGGGGAAGCTGTACCTCATCGGCATCGCCGCCATCGTGGTGGCTGTGATCATGGTGAGTGGGGCGGGCCGGGCATCTGCTCAGGGCCCCCCCGCGGGTCTCCGGGCGCTGACCCACCTGCCCGCCCCCACCCCCTTCTCCGCAGATCTTCGAGATGATCCTGAGCATGGTGCTTTGCTGTGGCATCCGGAGCAGCTCGGTGTACTGAGGCCGAGGCCACAGGGAGGGCCGCTGGGACCCCTGCAGGGCCCCCAAAGCGACCCGGACACTTCTGAGAAGGGGCCGTCACCACCTGTGTATATAACCTCCTGGTATCACTGCTACACTTATCAGCCTTTTTACTTTTGAGGTTTTGTTCTTGTCCTGAAGTTCCCTGTTGCTTTCGGGGCTGATGTCACCTGGCGGTGGCATGTGAGTGGCCTTGGGGACTGCAGGGCAGGGGCCCCCTCTGCTTTTGGGGCTGCTCGGTGGTTCTGCTTGCTCAGCCGGGCCTCTCCTCGGGGCCACGAAGGGCCATCCGGCCAAGCTGCACCCTCCTACCCACCCGTCCCCACGGGTGGCACACGCTCAGCCTTTTTTAATCCTTGTTCCTTTCCGGCCACCTGTCTCTAGAGCCGGGTCCACGAGCAGCCTTATGCCTTCAACGCACCTCTCCTTTCTAACGCGTCACCTTCGATTGTAATTACATCTTGAAAGTCATTCAATAAAGAAGGAAAAATCAGGCATGCTACCACGATGTCCGACCCCTTCCTGTGCTCGTGGTGTCTGAGACCCAGGGGCAGCCCGAGGAGCCTGGCGCAGGCGGTGCTCAGCTCTTTGGACCTCGCTGGGCCCAGGCTGTGCTGCCGACCCTGTTGGTGGGTGTCTGTGGGGCGCCCAGAAGGACTCCACGGAGGGAGTGCCCCTTTGTTGGGCCTTGTGCCACCTGGAGCAGCCTCCACCCCCACTCCTTGTGCACCACTGCCCAGCAGGGTCTGTGCGGGGCAGGCAGGCGGCCCAAGAATATGGTACAGGATGTGGGGCCCCTGCAAGACTCCCCGCCCTCCTGAGGGCCAGCTCAGGAGGATGGACACACTGCTCCCTCCCAACGGTCTGAGGGGCTCTTCTCTGACCTTCTAGTTGCTTGCAGACGTCCCGTCAAGGGGCTGGGTGCCCACATCTTGCAGGGGCTGGAGGGCAAGGCCTCAGCCACTACCTGGGGGAGCCTGCCTGGCCCACCACCGTGGACTGAGGCCCAGCCACCTCTTGGGTAGGCTGCTGCCCCCAGCGGGAATGCTGGGTGACATCACCATTAGCTGCATGCAGGTACCCCCCTGCATGTACATTAACTTGATCTCTTGAGACAAGTCCCTGGCTGGGATTCATACGTCAAGGGCTCCCTGGGGCCTCCTTGGGGGGCTGATTTTGGAAACTAACCCCAGCCCTGCATTGGGGGTCACAGGGCCTCAGCGGGCCCGCCCTTCCACAGTCCAGGGGTGTGCTGGTGGGTTGGGAAAACTGGATGGCCCAAGGAACCCGCTCCTTTTTACTTCTCCCTGCGCTGCAAAGCCCTGGAAACATCCTGGCCGAGGCCTGAGTGTCACCCCTGCTAGCTGCGGTGTGGACTAGCTGCCTGCGGTGGCCTGGACTCCGCGTTCCTGGTGAGGCCCTACATGGGGGTGGCCTTAGGGATGATCAGAACGGGCCCTGTTTCCTCTCTGGGTCCCTGGGCTAGGCCGCAGCATGGCCTGAACCCTGGATTCCAGGGCTGCAGCCCTGGGCGAGGGAGCGCGCTCTGGCCGTCCAGCAGGCGAGGCGCCAGCAGGGAAAGGGCGCCGGCCGCCTGGGCCCCGGGCCGAGGTACGTGCGGCCCGTCCAGGGGAGACTGGGATCTGCCCTGCGCTTCCGGGCAGAAATAACCAGCCAGGCCATCGACCATCGGCAGGAATAGGTAAGGGCGCCTCTCCCAGGAGGGCTGCCGCACGGCGGGCCCGGGCAGTCGGGAGGTTGGCACGAGCGCACAACGTGAGTCACGCCCCGCTGCCCGGCTCCCGGGACCCACGAGGGCGTGGCCGGCCGCTCTAGGCCAGGACCGGAAGTGCCCGGGAACAGCGCCGCACGCGTCGACGCACTTCCGGTCCTCGCGGCTTCCGGCAAGTGGCGCTGCGGCCCCGGGAACAAGGCGCTGCCCGTTAGCCCTCGAGCATTCTGGGAGTCGTAGTTCGGCCTCCCAGCCTCCCTCCTGGCCTTAGTCAATTCCGGTCTCTTCGCGAGAGAGCGCCGTTTCCGGGAGGGAAGACAGCGAATGCGCAGAGACCACACTCCCGATAGGCCTCGGGAGTAGCGGCCCAGTGACTTGTGGGAAATGTAGTTCTTCAGGCGCGGAAGCCGCGGCCCTCGGCCGGCAGAGGACTCAGTTTCCCAGAGGGCCGAGCGCGGCGCAAGATGGAGGCAGCCAGGCCGCGGTGAGCCGGTAGGTTTGTGGTGGGGAGGACGGCGCGGCTGGGCCGTCGGGCTTCGGGAGGCTGCTGTCCGCAGTCTGCTGCGCCGAGCAGGGAGACCCTCGTGAGGCCCGGACCCTTGGCCCATCCACCCGAGTTGGCCCCAGAACTTAAGCCCCTGACACGGAGAACCTGTTGGGCACGGGCCGAGGCCCTGGGCGCGTGGAGTGGAGAAAGTCAAGGTTCCGCCTCCCAGGGGAGCGAGACAACCGGCAAAGAAGCCAGTGTTCTCTGGGACCTGGCCTGCCCGGACCCCGGCCCTGAGAAAACCCCGCCTCCGAGCCCCCCAGGCCCTCAGCCTGTACTCAGTTCTGCCCTGCGCTGAGCTCAGAGATGCACACCCCCTTCCCTGTCTTGGGGTGCGGTCCCCGTCTCCCCGCGGAGCGTTCCCGCGACTCCAGGGGACGGGGTTGCAAATTTAGGAAGCCGGAGTCCGGTTTGAACTCCAGCTTTGCCTGCAACGTACCGTATGACGGGCAAATCCTTCCCCGTTCCGGTCCTGCCAGCTCTAAAACAGACACCATTGGCGTTTACTTCGTGCCCCCTTTCCTGGAGTTGTGCCTTCATTTTGGGAGTCACGCGAGGCCCAGAGGAATGGAGATCTTGCCTGTGTTTGACCTGGTGCCGGGCACTCAGAGACACTCCTGGTCTGCCTGGCCTGGCCCTCGGTGGGTGCACGAGCAATGGGTCACCCTGGGCCAGGGAGGCTTGGTGGGAAGAGGGAGTTGGTGGGCGGGTGGCTGTGTGGAGGGTGAGACTGGGCTGTCCTCTGAGCCTGGAAACAAGCTTCAGGATGCATGGTGACACTGGAACACTAACCAGGTGTTGGCAGCGCTTCTCTGCTCAGCTGGGAAAGTGAGGGGTGTGCCGAGGAGCACAGGACAAATGCCCCAGGAGCTGTGGGGCTGGCCTCTGTGGAGCAAGGCCGCTCTGGCTTCCTGAGCTTCCTTGACCCGCAGATGCCAAGGATGTGCCTGCAGACTGCTCTGGAGCTCCAGGGCATCTCACAGCGGTCAGGAGCACACCTCCTCCCCACGGAGGAGGCAGGCGCCCCGGCCTTTGTGGAGTACTCGCTGCCTGCCACGCAGCGTGCTTGGCTGAGAGAGGGAGTGCAGAGCAGAGGTCGCTCTCGGCCCTGGGTTCAAGCCCTGGCTGGCTGCTTACTACCAGACCCCCTGCCCTCACCCCCAGCTGCAGCAGGCCTCCTAGTGGCTTTAGTCAGACTGGCTGGAGAGGATTGAATGAAGTGACATGTCAGAAGGACCAGCTCCTAGGCCTGGCTGTGTCAGGGGCTCTGTAAACCCAGGCCCACTCCCGGGGTGGTGGCTCCACTCCTGCATGTCTGCCGTCTGGTCTGAGGGCTGCCTCTCCCTCCCTGCCCTCAGCCGGCCACTGAGCAGAGCCGTGCCTGGCGGGGGCCGTTGCGACCAAGAACCTTCTCCAGCGCTCGGCCCACCAGCCGTCCAGCACAGGCGCCCAGCAGCCAGGGAGGTAAGAGGAGGGCTTTCGGGGCGGGGGACATGGCCATTCCTCCTTGGACACAGCTCTTGCTGCTGACCCCTCCCCGGGGTGGTGGGTCTGCAGGAGGGACTTGTTCTGAGCTTGTGTTGTCTCCAGTGACCGATTCCCTGGGCTGCTTTGGTGCAGGTGTGGCGTGGCTGGGTGACGCATGGCTGAGGCAGGGGACGGCCAGCACTCCGTTGGCTCCGGGGGTGCCGCTCTGTCTCCCGACCCCGTCTGCCTCAGCGACTCGGACTCCGACCTCAGCCTGCTCGATGATGCTGAAGTGGAAGCCCTGTCTCCAGGGGGGCCGCCCGGGGAGGCCCCAGGGGGTTCGGGCCCCGATGAGCCCCCCTGCCCCCCCAGGAGCTTCCCCACAGCGGCGGTGCAGCCCTTCCACCTGAGAGGCACGAGCCCCACCTTCTCCCAGCGCAGCCACGACATCTTCGATGGCCTGGAGCGGGCAGCCAGGCGGGCTCCGCCCTCTGCGGCCCCAGCCGGCCCTGGCGACGGGGGGGGCTTCCGGCAGCCGCTGACACTCTCCAGCCGGCCTCCAGCCGGGGGCCCGAGCAGGGCCACTCAGAATCCCGCTCCCCTGAGGGTGCCCCCCGTTCCTGACTACGTGGCCCACCCCGAGCGCTGGACCAAGTACAGCCTGGAGGACGTAACTGAGGCCAGCAAACAGAGCAACCAGGCCCCCCAGCGACTACGTGCCCTCCTTCAACCAGGACCCCTCTAGCTGTGGGGAGGGCCGGCTCATCTTCTCCAAACCGGCCCGAACCGGCGAGGCCCGGCTTGAGAAGAGGAGGGTCCCGAGGAAGGCAGGGGAGCCGGGTGGGAGCACCCGCGGGATCCCGGGGGTGGTGGGGGGTGAGGGCCCCGTGGAGCTGGCCCACCTGGCCAGGCCTGGGAGCCCGGAGGCCGAGGAGTGGAGCAGACCCCGGGGGCGCCTGCAGGAGGTGGGTGCACCCGAGGGGGAGGCCCTCGTGGGGTCTGGGGCTAGCGCCCTGCCAGGGGAGGCAGTGGGCTTCCACAGCAGCAAGAAGCGGAGCAGGGACCACTTCCGGAGCAAGGGCAGCAGCCCCGAGGCCCCAGGCGCGGAGGGCTGAGCAGGGAGGCCGCCTGCCTACCCTGGCTGAGCTGGAGGGACAGCCACCACTGTCCCCCCGGGGTGGCTTCAGGGGCGGAGCAGGCCCAGGGCCCCACCCCCAGGGAAGGGAGCCAGCGGGCTGCCTGTCGGTGGCACCAGCGGCCAGGGCAGAGACCTTGCTGAGGGTGTGGGCCAGGGGATGGCGGAAGCCCTGACTCACCCCGTGCCCAGGAGGACAGTAAAGGCTCTGGGTGTTCCTCAGTCTCCGTGTCTCTTTGTCAGCCCCCCTCCGCCCAGGACTGTGGCCAGGGCCCTCTCTTCTCTCCAGACACCCCATCACCCTGTTCCTACATTGGAGCCTTCCAACTTAGCGTCAGGGGACTCTGAAGGTTTTTAAATCAAGCCTGTGTTCCTCAGTGGCACGTCTTCCCAGCCTACCTGAGGTGACCCCCTCCTCAGTCCAGGGCAAGAGGTGGAGACCCCAGACCTGTCCAGAGGCGGGCTCACAGCCGTTGGTGTGCAGCCCCTGCCTCCAGCATATGCCTGTAGACCCCAGAACCGGGAGCGGGGAAGTGGCCAGCTGAGCGGGCGCCCTCTCCAGCCCTGGCCAAGCTCACCCTTGACTCTGTCCTACTCAGGCTGTGTGAAGACGACCGGTGTCCTGGGACAGTGTCACCAGGACTGCTGAGCTGCTGTGCAGGGCGATGAGGAGGGTCCCCAGAGGGTGCTGGGGAGGTAGCCAGGAGTGGGCGTGGCTCTCCTGTGACCGCATTTGGGGTTGGCCAGCCCATCGTGCTGCTGAGCCCCGGGCCTGGCCCTGCCCCTGCCCCTGCTGCCCCTACCCCAGGGCTCCAGGTCCCTAAGGGAAGGAGAGACCGGCCTGGCTGGTCATTCAGTTGGGCAAGCTCAGGAGCCTAGACCCCATCCCTGCAGGGCAGGAAGTCCCTCTCCCCCCGCAGTGCTTTACTGACCGCCTGACACCTCCCAGACACCCCCCAGGGTGCACTCATGTGGGGCTGCAGCCCAAGGTGTGGGTGTACTTTCCAGGCTCCATTTAAGATAAGGCAGCTTTGGGGGCGGGTCCTCTTGGAGAGGTGACCCACAGCCGCTGCCCAGGCTGGACAGCCCGGCACTCACTGTGCGAGCTGTCGGGGACGTGCGGTGGCAGTCGACACACACAGTCTTGGGTCTTAAAGGACAGAAATTCCAAGTGCAAGCGTTTCAGAAAAAGAGCAGTCTCTTGGTGGGCGACACAGGTTGGGCATGGACTCCAAGGCAGCTAGCTGCCCACCGAACGGGAGGTGCCCCGCACAGGGCGCTCAACAAGTGTCTGCTCTCCTGGGCCTGGCTGGTTGGTTCTGGTCGGGGTCCTGAGGGCTCTGCCTGTCAGGGAGGGCCCACGACACACCGCTGCACCCCGGGCCCAGGACGTCCAGGGAAGGTGCCGGGCAGGGCAGCGAGTGGTTCCTTTTGGCAAAGCCCCAAGCCACATCCTGCTGGGGCTCCACTGGAGGTGGGGGCAGGCTGGCGCGTCCGTGGGGCCTGGGGCTCTGGGAGAGGTGGGCCCCGCGTGCAGACGGTCCAAGTGGCTCAGGTGTTCGAGGGCAGCCGGCCGGCCTCTGGGTGTTCCCTGCTGCCCAGGCCCACTCCATGGTCAGCAGAGGCCTGTGGGTTCCCACCGCTGAAGTTCAGGAGTCTGGTGGGGGGAGGGAGGCCCCTCCTCAGCTGCTGTGCGCCCAGTGGGGCAGCCGGGGAAGGGAGAGGTGGCCCTGGCCGGGGGTGGGGGTGGGGCAGCAGCCCAGTGGGGCCAGGCAGAGGCTCAGGAGTCTGAGGGCCACGCCCTCACACCCTGGCTGGGTCGGTGGGCTTCATCAGAGGGCCCCTACCCATCCTGAAGACCAGGGTGGTCAGCCAAAGGCCATCGGAGACGTAGGCCGGGCCCCTCCCAGGACAGGTGGGAAGCGGAGGCCCAGGCCAGCGGGCTGGTGTGGGTTGCTTGCGCCCACCACGCCCCAAGCCCACCCGGGACGTGTGGGGACAGCCACACCTACTCCAGTGGCTGTTCCTGCAGCCAGCGCGTCGGCCGTGGAGGAGGGGAGCGCCATGCAGCAGTCGACCTGCAGAAGGGAGGCGCTGGGGGCCCCCGGGCCACGTCGTGTCCGCCTGCCCTGCCCGCCGGCGCCCGCACTGCCCTGTGACCCTCTGGTGGCTGCCTCTGCCTGAGGTTTCTAGAACTAGAAAGAAGCTAGGCTCAAGTCAGCCAGCCAGCCAAGTGCGCATGTTTAATACTTACTCGCTACTACTTAGCCTAGAGACTCAAAGAAATAAATGAACTACGTAAAGCTTAAAAGCAGAGAAAGCTAAGAAAAGTCGCTCTCAACAAGCGGATAAAAGGGGCTTCCAGAGCGTTCCTGCCAGCCGGTCACTGGAAGATCAAGGCAGCCCGTCCCAACTGCCTAAAGCCAAGCCTCTCCGGTGCAGGAAGGGTATGGGGGTGGGGGGCTCGGGTCCGCAGTGGGCGAACGCGTAGCCGCAGTGCAGCTCGTGAGCGCCGCCGGGAGTGGGGGAGGATGGAGGAACAAACCGAGGAGGACGGCGAAGATTAACAGAGGTCTACGCAGATACTCCGAAGCTGTTCGTCTTTAGACTCCGCAAGGAGGTCTTGACGTCATTTCCTTCCGTAGGTCGCCAGTGCTTCCGGGTCGCGGTCATTTTGAGCCCGTGTCTGGGTGAGTTCTAGGCGGTCGCGTCGTTGACCGCTCCCCACCCCCAACTCCGCTGCGGTTCTGCGCGTTTCCTGCACCCCCTTCTCTCCCCGCACCGACCCCTCTCGGGTCCCCTCTGGGCCTTCGGCCCCTGGTCGTCCGGGGTCGCCGCGCTGTGGCCGGCCGCTGTCGTCGGGGGGGGGGGGGGGGGGCGCAGGCCCTCCGGCACCGTGATGCGGGGAGTAGACGGTGAGGGGTCTTAAATGCAGGACCCCCCGGGGAGAGTTGCAGGGTCTCCCCCTCAGGGAAGGGTGGGTACAAGTACGAAGCCCCAGGCCCTCCCTGCCCTGCCCCTGCCCTGACTGCTGAGCCCCGCGGCCAGGCCCCTGCCCCAGGAGAGAAGGGCACCCTGGTGTGCCTGCCTACCTGAGACTCCAGACGCTCGACCCGCTTCTGCTCTCTCAGGCCCCCGAGGTACTTGGCTACGAAGTCCACCCTGGGACAGGAGCAGGCAGGCCGCAGGCCGCTGAGCGCGGGGCGGGGCGGGCTCCCAGATTGGGAAACCTTCCCGTCCTCCCCCATCCTGTGGCCCAGGCCCTTCGGGTGGGTTTGGGGGTCACTGAGCTTCTGTGGGCGCCTGAGTTCAGGGTGCTCCGGCCCTTCGGGCCTGGGTGCAGAGCTCTGCTGCACTCTCCCTGCAGGCACGGGGCGGGGACGGGGTTCTGCCCAGCAGTGGTGGGCAGGGTTGTCCCCACCCCTCACCCGCAGGCAGGACCAGGCACGGGGGTCTGAGGGAGGGCTGGGGACGGACCTCTCTGGGAAGACCTGGAGACCCCAGAGCAGAGAACACCATAAGTATTGGCCCCATCCCCCAAATGCAGGACAGGCAAGGCCCCAGCAGAGCTCTGTCCAGGGTCGGGAGGGGGGCCGTGTGCTGGACCGGGCCACATCCCTGCCCCTCTCAGCCCGTTTCCCCAGCTCAGACCCTGTGACGTGAGAGCCCACGCCAGCTGTCTGTCAGCCTGATGTCCAGCAGTGATCCTAGTAAAGACCTCACAGCCCCCAGTCCCATGGCGTGAGATCCGGCTCCTCACCCGCTCCGCCGGTGCCGCTACTTACCGGCACCCTGCAGGGGAGGCGGCCAGCGCTCCGGGCTGGGCCCTTGCCCCTGTAAGCCGCCCCGTGGGCTCAGCACCCCAGGCCGCCTGCCACGCCCACCCGGGTGGGCGGGGCGGGGCGGGGCCGGGTCCCCGCACCCGTGGGCTGTCTTCCGCGGCAGCTCCTCCCCGCTGTCCTTCCTCCGCCTCTCCAGCTCGCTCCGGAAGTTCTCCTTCTGCCCTGCCTCCCGGGTGACCGTCTTCTGGTCCAGGGGCTCTGGCAGGTCCCTCTCTGGGACGGCCAGGCAGCCTCAGGGGCAGAGCCAGGCAGGAGGAGCCCTCCCTGTGGTGCGCCAGCCTGCAGGGTCACTGCAGACGGGGCCAGGGCGCGCTGCCCCTCCCCAGGCCCAGGGCCCCCCCGCCACCCCCCTCGGTCCGGGCAGCTGAGTCCAGCCCAAGCCTCACCCAGGCGCGCCCCCTTCTGCTGGGCCTCCTTCCGGAAGAACCTCACAAGCACCAGGTTCAGGTGGCTGAGGAGGACGAAGGGCGGGCCGGGGCGGGGCGCTCGTGGTCCTCCACGATGAGGTGGGAGCGCTGGAACTTCCAGACAGTGTCCGCGTTGCCCTGCACCACCTGGAACGTGTAGCTGCGGACGCGTGTGGGCGGCGGTGGGCACACGGCCCGGCTCCCTGCGCTGTTCCCGGAGTCCCAAGGGCTCCCCCCCCCCGTCGCTGTCCCCTCCTCCTGTGACTTCTTTCCACTCCTCTGGGGTCTTCCACTGCCCCATCTGCTGCAGCCTTCGCAGACCCGGGCCCTACTCCCTGGGGGGCGGGGGCCTGGGAAAGCATCGTCACTCCACCCACATGCACGCACCTGCCCTGCCCTGCATCACCTCCTAGGTGCCCTGACCTCCAGGCCCAACCCGAAGGGGAGCCACAGTTTTGGGTGACACCCCATTTCCAGGCCCCTCTTGGGGGCAGAGAGGTGAATGCAGCTTGAGGTCCGGAGGACCAGGCAGGTCTGGGCCAGAGACGCTGGAACTAAGGGCTCCCCGACGTGGGCGGAGCAAGGAGGCAGGGCGGGCACCTGAGCATGGCGATGAGCGAGTTCATGAGCAGCACGTTGGTGACCAGCAGGAAGGTGACCAGCCAGCTGGCATCGAGGTTGGGGCAGGAGGGCGAGTCCTCCAGCAGCAGCGGGTGCATGGAGCAGTTCACGCGGGCTTCTGAAAGGGGAGTGGGCTCGGTGCAGCCGGTGCGGGACTGAGCTGCAAATGCCCTTGGGTATCGAGAGCTCTGTCCCCCAGTCGAGGCCACCCTGGGACAGAGGGGCCCTGGTTAGGCGGCCAGCTCTTGTGGTTTCCTGGGGGTCATCTGGGCTTCGGCGCTGAGTTCCTGTCGTGGGACACTCCAGTCCTGGGTGGCTGGCCTGGCGGTGCTAGCCCCACTTCCCCACTGCTGCTGGACAGAGCTCACAGCCAGACCGCAGGCTTTGGAGGCAGCGCCAAGGCCGTGTGGAGGACCCCGGTTTCTGCTGGTTGCTTCACGGGTCACCCCCAAGCACCACCGCCACCGCCAAAGGCTCTGCTCAGAGCCAGTGTGGAGAGAGCTGGCCTCGGCAAGGGGAGGTGGAGTCTCTCCTGCAGGACTTCTCAGGGCCTTTATGGCTCTACTGCCTATCACAGGACTCTGAGCTGGGGGGGGGGGGGCGGGCCGCCACATTTTCAAAG